GCCTCTGCCTCTGCCTCTGCCTCTGCCTCTGCCTCTGCCTCTGCCTCCCCAGTGCTTGGACTGAAGGCAGTGTGCCACCACTCCTGGCATCCCTAAATAAATTGTTCAAAACAAGACCAACTTTTCAGCTGGACACCCAGTCTGCTGGTTTCCTGCCTCAGAGGAAGAGTCTGTAGATTCTGGCTTCAGCCTCAGCACATAGCTTGTAATTAATCCAATTGATTTTTTCCTACAAAGCATTTCCACTCCAAATTAGACACTAAGACTGTCGCCAAAGGTTTACTTTGTGCATTAATAGTACCAAAGGGGGGGTGGGGAGCAGGATGTTTAATTTCTGTAAACAAAGCATTAATGACAGCATGTAAGGATTTCTTCTTTCTGTTATCAATGCTTTCCAAATTTCCTGTAAAGAGAACACCACCTCCTTCACGGGAATGAAGTTTGAAAAAAATAAATCAGAGGTAGGGAGGTGGCTCAGAGGGTAAAGTATTTGCCACACAAACCTGAGGGCCTGAGTCTGGATCCCCAGCCTGGTACAGAGGCGTGCATCTATAACTGAAGGACAGTGGATCCCGAGGTCACTGGCCAGTCATTCCAGCCACAACATCAGGCTCCAGTTTCAGTGAGGTTCCCTGTCTCAAAACAAGGTGGAGAGCAGTAAAGGAAGGCAGCAGATGTAAACCTCTGCTCTCCACACACGTAGCAGAGTTCACCCAGGTGCAGAGGCACACATACACTAAAACTATCATCCAGATTAGTGTACTAGTTGGCTTTCTGTCAACTTGACAGAAGCTAGAGTCATCAGAGAGGAAGCCTCAATTGAGGAAATGCCTCCATGGGATCCAGCTGGAGGGTACTTTCTCAGTTAGTGATCAATGGTGGAGGGTCCAGCCCATGGTAGACAGTGCCATCTCTGGGCTGGTGGTCCTGGGTATAACAAAGCAGGCTGAGCTGGATACAATGGCACACACCTGTAGTCCCAACACTCAGGGAGGCAGAGGCAGGTGGATCTCTGTGAGTTCGAGGCCAGCCTGGTCTACAAAGCAAGTCCAGTACAGCCAAGGCTACACAGAGAAGCCCTATCTCAAAAAAAAAAAAAAAAAGAAAGAAAAAGAAAAGCAGGATGAGCAAGCCACGTGAAGCAAGCCAATAAGCAGCACTCCTCCATTGCCTCTGCATAAGCTTCCTGCCTCCAGGTTCCTGCCCTGTGTAAGTTCCTATCCTGACTTCCTTTGGAATGTCAAAGTGTATGCTGAACAGACCCTTTCCTATCCAACTTGCTTTTTGGTCATGTAGTTTCATTGCAGAGATAAAAACCCTAAGTAAGGGGGCTGGAGAGATGGCTCAGTGGTTAAGAGCACTGTCTGTTCTTCCAAAGGTCCTGAGTTCAATTTCCAGCAACCACATGGTGGCTCACAACCATCCATAATGTGCTGATTTCTTCTTCTGGCAGGTGTAAATGCAGATAGAACACTCATATACATAAAATAAATAAATTTTAAGAAAAGTAACAAGAAAATGAGAGCTGGAGAGCTGGCTCAGTGGCTAAAAGCACACACTACTCATAAAGTTCAGGTCCCATTTGGGACAGCTCACACCTCCTGTAACTCCAGGAAATCTGACATCTTCTTCTGGATTCCTTGGGCACACCCCACCTCCACAGAGAGGAGAGAGAGATTTAAAAATAAAAATAAAGTTGTTAAATGATCACAGAGAGCCTTTATGTAAACCTGAGCATTTCCAGTCTGGGAAGCCAAGTGAGGTTAGGCCTGGATGAAACTTGGATGAACAACCTCCAACCTTCACAGTTATCAACAATGGCTATCATCGTCAGCCTTGCTGCATGGCACATGTCCCTCTCCTGACCCTCACTGTGGCTAGAGGACTTCCCCACACTTACTGGGGACCTGCTAGGGTCTATGCAGACTTTAGCCTAGTATGGCCACACAAAGGGCAACGCTCCCAAATAAAGACACCTTGAGGCACTCCCTGGCACACCCTGCATTTCAGACCAAGATGTGGGTTCCGAGATGTGCCATTCCCTGCTGCTCCAGGACAAATGAGGCACATCAGAAACTGAGGCTGTGGCATCTTTTTAATAGAAAATCTAGCCATTAGCATCTCTCCTGTGTGCAACACGGAACGCAAGACGTTATGACCCTATTTGAATATTTTTCTCCTCCGGAGAGGAAAAGTATTTTCTGAAAAGGCAGTGAGATCCATGCCTTCACAACTGGGCACTTGTCAAGGATCGTGGCCGCCATGATCCCTACAGCAGCACTGAGTCAGGAGAGTCCCCTGGGACAGGCATCTCGCTCCCTTAGTCGCAGATGGATGGCCTGTTGACATTGTAACTGGGGTGAAAGTTAAGGCGGTCACAATGGGTGATGTAATTGTCAGGGCCTGTCACTATGCTCTTCTCCAGGCTGACGTTAATATTGTTTCTCCGGAACATTCCAGAAGTTAAAAATTGTCTGGAGAACTCACTTGTATGTGGATAATATACTTTCTGGAAATAAAAAGAAACAAGAAGATTAATGGTGCATAATAACACAAGCAGCCAGGCTGTTATTTCAGAAGAATACATACAGCTCCATTGCTAAGAAGCACAGAAACCAGAGTGGGCAAGATGGCCCCAACCATTCCAATTTGTGCTTAACATGTCTAAAATAATTAACATTGCCTCCTTTATACACTACATGGACAGCAAGAGAAGTTTCAGGATCACCCATATGTGAGCAGCACCATACCTAGGTATGAAACAAGCATCAGCCTGGAGTGTGCCAGAGTGACCCTCCCTACACACACACCAAGGCCTACTTCCAGCCACGCCACACGAGGCCTCTCTGTTAGCCTCAGCTGTCTCTTCTGTGAGGGTAGGCAGCTTGCCATGCTTTAACAAATACTTGTAACTAATAAAGAGACAAAGTTAGTTGAGAGTGGTGGTACATACATTTAATCCCAGCACTCAGAAGGCAAAGCTCTGTTGAGTCAAAATCCTCTGTAGAGTGTTTTAAAAAGACTCCTGGGCATGCACAACCAGCCCAGGGTATGGGAAGGGGCTGCCCTGCTGAGGCCTGACACACGCAGTTCCTGATGAGAGTGTAGCCACTGCCAGTGCAGGAACCCCTGGTGATAATCAGCCTAGTCAGACAGAATCCTTAGATGATTGGCACGTGCAGACTGACCTCCACCAGATAGTGGTACCCTATCCTCACATAACCCTGTGTCAAGATCACCTGATGTTTTCTCTCTTTGGCAGGAGGCACATATAAAGAGAAATTATTTCAGAGCATTTTTCAAGAGGAAAATTTGATTTCTCCAGGAAAGCTGAAAAATAAAATACCGTGTCCAAATCCCATCCCAATACACACAGCTCCCCCACTGTTAGCATAGCCTATTGCAGGTGCACCGGATTTGAGCCAAAATTGCCACTTGGTTGTGCACTGTGCCCTGGAGGGGGAGGGGAAGTGTCTCTTGGCCCTGCACATTCATTCAGTACTTTGTTTGTTGTTTGTTTGTTTGTTTGTTTGTTGAGACAGGGTTTCTCTGTGTAGCCTTGGCTCTCCTGGACTCACAATGTAGACCAGGCTGGCTTCGAACTCACAGTGATCTACCTGCCTCTGCCTCTCTAGGATTAAAGGTGTGCGCCACCAAGCCCAGCTCCATTCAGTACATGTTGACAGTGTATAATTAGACACACCCACCACTGCATCGCTGTGGAGAATCATACTAAGAGCTGCTCACAGACTGAGTGTACTCAGCCAGAAAGCTGAAGAGCCAACCCAAGAGAACAGGACTGTAAAAAGCAGGGAACACGTACTTCCCTTCCAGCTTGCCTCTGATCCCCTCACCTTGTGGCCCATTGCCTGCTAACCTGAGTGTGAAGCACCACTGTTAAACAAGGCAGCACTTTCTCAGCGGCCTTTTATAAAGGCAGAATCAGTAGGTGGGGCTTTGGCTCAGCTGGTAAAACACTGTGTCTACCACTTGCAAAGCCCCAGCACTTCATAAAACAGGATGTCGTAGAGTAAGTACACCTTTAACCCAGCACTTGGGAGATGGAGGCGAAAGGCTCAGGAGTTCAAAGTCATCTTCAGTTTTGAACTGATTCAAAACTAGCTCTGGCTACCTTGAGACCATGTCTCAAAGAAAAAGATAAGGCACTCGTTGCCAGCCCTGATGACTCGAGTTGGATCCCCAGGACTGGTGTGGTAGAAGGGGAACCAACTCCTACAAGTTGTCCTCCACCCACAAACATATCCCCATACAAAGACAAGTCGAATGCAAGTTTTTGTTTGCTTGTTTGTTTTTTCTTTTTCTTTCTTTTCTTTTTTTTTGGGGGGGAGGGAGGAGACAAGGTTTCTCTGTGTAGCCTTGGCTGTCCTGAACTCATTTGTAGACCAGGCTGGCCTTGAACTCACAGTGATCCACCTGCCTCTGCCTCCCTGAGTGCTGGGATTACAGGTGTGTGCCACCGCACACAGCTGTTGGTTTTTTGTTTTGTTTTGTTTTGTTTTTGTTTTTCAAGACACGGGTTTTCTGTATAGCCCTGGCTGTCCTGGAACTCACTCTGTAGATCAAGGTGGTCTCAAACTCAAGAGATCCATGTGCCTCTGCCTCTACCTCCCAAGTGCTGAGATTAAAGATGTGAGCCAACATGCCTGGCAAGTAGAATGCAATTTAAGGGTGCATAAGCAACAGGACCTATGCGCCTGCTTCCCGCAGAAACACCTTGTCTTTGATTTTTGAAGCACTGACTAAAGAATAATCTTTTCACAGGCATTCTGTCACTCATATGACACAACTAAATAATGGACTACCAGGTCTTCAAAACTGACAACTCTTTGGGAAAATTACCTCCAACATCCTCATTCCAGTGTGGGAGCCCAGGGAATCTGGGGGTGCTTTCCCTGAGTCTGACTTCAGCCCTAGAGGCACCATCTTGCACCCTTGGCTGCAATCAGTACTGCAGTCCAGTGCACAGAGCACATCTCACAACAAGAAACAGAGCCGAGAAGAGCAGACTTCCTTCATCTGCCTCTGAACACCTACATAAAGGTGTGCCTGTCCTTGTGACGTGCATGCCTGCCTAGTGGTGTGGCTGATCACAGGATGGGAAGGAGGGTAGTGTGGAAGCAAGCTTATTTGGACTCTTCTTTGTAGGGAGGGAGTCAGTTGGGGAGGGACAGGTTTCTCTGTGTAGCCCTGGCTGTCTTGGAACTCACTCTGTAGCCCAGGCCTGTCTCCAACTCAGAGATCCACCTGCCTCTGCCTCCTGAGCGCTGGGATTAAAGGTGTGTGCTACAGCCACCAAGCAGACTTTTCTCTTTCTACAATATGTTTTGCTTCTAATTTGTATTTTATCATCTCTCTGTCCTGTCCTGTTCTAACATGATTTTAGCTGCCTCGAATTTAAAATGTGGGAACTTGATTTCCAAGTCTGATTCCTCACAACCCTGCTTTTCTCGCTGGCACCTCACCCTGGCATGTCTGGCTTGCACGTACCGGCATCTCATGCACTGTGGGTGCTCGGCTTCCATAAGTCTGGTTACTGGTCTGGTACATGGAGGGAGTTTTGTCCGTCCTGTAGAAGAGAGACACACTGTTTCCCACTCATACTCATTTTAAGTCAGACAAATCATAACCTGGGTTAATGGAGCTTTTTTGGTGACGTCCATGGCAGCAATACCATGCCAACAGGGCTCCTAGTATGAGCATTCTCTCTCTCAGCAGGCCTGCCTCTCGGGTCTCCTCTGCTGGCCATGGCCCCTGATCCTTCCAGGGTTAAACCCTACAGAACACCCAGCCAGCTGGAGGAGAAGCCTTGGTGGAACCTCGCCACAGACTACCACAGCCAGGTATGGTAGCTACCTTGGGGTCAGCATCTCAGCGTCCAGACCCTGGCAGCATCCCCTCTGCTTCTGAGAGGCCAAGCTACTGTCACATGGAGAGGAGGAAAGAAATGTGGTTTGTGAGGCTGTGGTCTGTGATACAGAGGCCACCATCAACTCTACTTCACATCCTGAGGCCTCAGCAGTCTTCTTGTTTGTAGGGAGTGGTGGTAGTGTGCCTGCAGCTGCTTCACAGAAGTCAGGGAGGCTTCCATTCTCATTTCCAAGCGAAAGCGGCTGCCCTGCAAACTGACCGATTTTCAGGGGGAGCTTCCAAAGCGAAGAGCCACCTCCTCCTCCCGCAAACAACCTGACATCTGCACACATTCACTCTTGTGGCTGCTCAGACAGCAGGATCCTGATAGTAATGGTTACACAAGGCACAGGGTTCATGTCTGGCTTCTTTTGACCTCAGCAGCCAGGCATGTGGGAGTCTCACAAACATGGCCAAAGCTAGGGCCACCTGCAGCACTCTCCAATATGACGGAGGTAACCTCAGTTTTCCTCACCTGTAGCCACGAAAACACCCCGGATTGTTGAACCTGTCTGGGAGCTGTTCGCTCACACGGTAATAGTCGCTCGTCTTCTCCGGGCCCAGGTTAGCCTTGGTTACCACCGGCTTGGTGCACTCTTGAGGGTTTTTTCCAGACATTGGGCCTCCGCAAGAAACTAGGCAAGGACAGTGAAGTCTGCGGCTAAGGCGGCAGTGCGTCCTGTTGCTAAGCAACAACGTCACCTGACCAGGAGGAGGCGGGGCGGTTCTTTGTAAGCGGCCTGCCAGAGCAGCCACAGGCAAATCTAGAATCTTCCAGGGAGCGAATAACAAGGAGACAGTGAGGAGTTCTAAACTAGGACTGTCACGCGAAGGAATTCCAAGCTTCCACGTGCAGCGCAGCTCCTCTGGAATTTCCGCTGGCCTTTTTCTGGAACTGTTGGGAAGCAGATCCTGGACAAATGAAATCTTAGGACCTGGGACTTCACTAACAAATACGCAGAAATTAGGTGCTTCTGATCTCTACCTGAGCAAGCACTCACTGGCCTGCCGTTTACTGTCCTGGCCAGGGCTTCTCCTTGGCCCAGTCACCGCACGCTCCTCATAACAACGCCTAAACTTAGACGAGAGATGTTGCTAAATTTAGGTAATTTTCCTAGGCCAAATACTGTTGAAATATAAAAAGATGATCTCGTGAGCCGTGCCCGTAGCTCACAGAAGAGTGACTGCATTAATGAAGTGCTAGTGCAGTGCCAGGAGGCAGATCTCTGAGTTCAAGGCCAGCCTGATCTACATAGAGTTCTAGGTCAACCAGGGAGACTTTGGTTGGTTGTGTAGTCGTCATTCTTGAATGTGATTTGGGGCTGGAGAGGTGGCTCAGCGGTTGAATGCATCTGTTGCTCCTGCAGGGCAGGATTCAAGTCTACACCTACAGCGTGACTCACAAACATCCTTAACTCTTGTCCCTGGGGACCAGACACCTTCTCCGCTCCAAGGGCACCAGGCACTCACAAGGTGCATATGGATACCTGAGAGCCAAATACATCCATAAAATACATAAACCTAGAAATAATGTTCAACAGCAACAAAAAACGCAACTAAAAACCAAACAATAGGGCTGGAGAGATGGCTCAGTGGTTAAGCACTCTGACTACTCTTCCAGAGGTCCTGAGTTCAATTCCCAGCGACCACGTGGTGGCTCACAGCCATCTATACCTTCTACTGCCGTCTTCTGGCATGCAGGTGTACAAACAGATAGAGCATTCAAAATAAATAAATAAAATCTTAAAAAAAAATAATAATAATAATCCTGATGGCGGTGGCTCCCACATTTAATCCCCGCACTCCAGAGGCAGAGGCAGGCGGCTCTCCATGAGTTCAAGGCCAGCCTGGTCTACAGAGACAATCAAGGACAGTCAAGGCTACACAGAGAAACCCTGTCTCGCTGGGAAAAAAAGACAAACAAAAATAAAGACCAGTAAAAACCATTTTGAACAAGAGGATAGCCTCCTCCAGACCGATTCTGAGAGGATGCTGTCATTTCACAGGGAGGAACGAGCTGTGGGTGAAAGTGCCCTGGTCCTGGTTCAGTCCCACGTCCCAACTAGGCACCAATCGCCCGCCACAGCACTGGCTCACCTAAGCAGAATCCCACTTCTAAGGATGCGCGGCCTGCCCTGCGCAGCGGGGGCGGAGGTCCTCCCGGCCTGCATGCGGCGCTGCAGCCCTGCGCGCTGGGCGGAGATGGCGCTCTGCCCGGGAGGAAGAGTCTCTGCGGCATCTCTGTCCACGCGCCCGCCATGGCTCCTGCTCCGGCCCTGTTGACCCCGCTGCTGTGTGCAGGTGAGAGCGGAGGACGCCAGAGATGGGAGGGATCCTGGGATCCGAGAGAGGAGGACAAGGACGTGGACAGGGCGCGGCCCCATCGCCTCTCTTCCCGCAGGTGTGCGGCGCTGGCCAGGTTTCCTGCAGAAGGCGGCCCTGGGCCCAGCGGGGCAAAATGGTAGGATGGTGACAGGAGCCCCGGCCCCCGCGGTCAGCGAGCCCCAGGACAGCTACGGTAAAGGCCAGCGGCTGGAAGTGGGTCGGGGAGCGGTTGTCATTGCGGGATCCCTGAGCGAAGCCTGGGCCAATCTCCCTAAATGGGGTGGGAGGGAGAATAGCCCCTCAGCGGCCTAGTAGCTCCTGAGACCAGTGGAGACCAGTTTTGTCTCTGTCCACCTTTCTGGTCTTCAGGCGGGATATTTGAGGCACCAGAAGTTAACAAGGCCCGCATCTCTTTCCTCTTGTGTCTGAGGAAACTAAGAGAAGAGAGCTGACCAGGCTCTCCCCACACGGAGTCCACCTGAGACCTTGGCACTAGTGCTGTAAAAATGCCCCCGTGTCTTCCAGATCTTTCCTGGCATTTCACCTCAGCCTTGAGGTCCCCACGTTCAGGAGTCTTTGGTTGGTGGTGGTGGGCCACATTGTCTTCCCCTTTTTCTTTAGAGCTCCAGAGCAGGATCCTAAATGTGCCGCTGCAGCATTCGGACTTCTTCAATGTCAAGGAGCTGTTTTCTGTGAAGAGCCTCTTCGAGGCCCGAGTACACCTGGGACATAAAGCTGGTTGTCGGCATAGGTAGCTGGCACAAACAGTGTGGGGGGCAGAGGGTTGGCATCGGGTCAAGATTGGAAGTGGATGGGGGTGTCAGCAGCAATACCGACTGCCGTGTATTATTGATGCTTTTCACAGATGTGGTGGAAATTGGGGGTCATCACTGGCCGAGGACCCCCAAGTTTTGGCCAGGACCCAATAGAGAGGTCCTGCCTTATAGAACTGAAGTAGCCATAGAGAGCAACACTAGACAGAGTGCACTGCATGGGTCATGCTTTTTTGTTTTGTTTTTCGAGACAGAGTTTCTCTGTGTAGTGTTGGCTGTCCTGGAACTCAATCTGTAGACCAGGCTGGCCTCAGAACTCACAGAGCCTGACTCTGCCTCTCTGGTGCTGGGATTAAAGGCAAGTGCCACATCACCCACTTGCCAGTAGGGTTCATGTTTAAGGTGCCGTTGGTCCTCAAATCTCCACAGGGAGAAAGTGGGACAGGTTGAGCCACACACCTGATACTAGCTGCTCAACTCCACAACCCAGCCCATCCCTCACTAGGCAAGGAGTAGCAGGGAGCACAGGTAATATAAATAGTGCCTCCCAGCCTGCAGCCTGCATTGTATAAGCAGGCTTATAAGCCTGCATTGTATAAGCCTGCATTGCTGATAGGGGTCTGTGGAAGGGGAAGTGTGGCTCCATGAACACGGATTCACTTTGGGGTTTTTTTTTTTTTTTGGCAGATTTATGGAGCCATACATCTTTGGGAACCGCTTGGGTCAAGATATCATCGATCTGGATCAGACAGCCTTGAATCTCCAGCAGGCCTTGAACTTCACAGCCCATGTGGCCTACCGAAAGGGCATCATCCTGTTTGTGAGCCGGAACCGGCAATTCTCTTACTTGATTGAGAATACAGCCCGGGATTGCGGGGAGTACGCCCACACCCGCTACTTCAAGGGTGGCTTGCTGACTAATGCTCAGCTCCTCTTTGGGCCTACAGTCCGCCTGCCAGACCTCATCATCTTCCTGCACACACTCAACAATGTCTTTGAACCCCATGTGGCTGTGAGGGATGCGGCCAAGATGAACATCCCCACAGTGGGCATTGTGGACACCAACTGCAACCCATGCCTCATCACTTACCCTGTCCCTGGCAACGACGACTCACCCCAAGCTATCCAGCTCTTCTGCCAGCTCTTCCAGACAACCATCAACCGGGCCAAGGAGAAGAGGAGGCAGATGGAGGCACTGCATCGGCTGCAGAGCAGGGATTCTGAGGGCAGTGCGACATCTTCTGCACCTGATAAGAGCCATTCCCCATGACAGGAAGCCTTGCACCCACAACAGATAGACAGGACTGTTCTAAACAGGAAGCTCCTGGTCCAGCCCTGGTCCGTACCCCCATTCCCCATCCTCAGTCAGCATCAGTGTCCTATATTCCTGAGCTACGGCCACCCGAGTGTGACTATCCTGAGCTGACCCTTGTTCGCGTTTTTTCTGGGGACAAACTCAGGTAAAGTGCATATCCACATGGCCTCTGGCATCCACTAAGACTTGGACATAGATAGCCAAGTGGATGGCACTGTTTCTCTCGTCAAGAAGCCCTTGCTTCCACTTTAGAAGTAGGTCTGTATCAGATGGGTTCCATTCAGTTTCTCTTTTCAATTAAAATTAATCCTTATTGTCTGCTAATTAGTCTTTCTCTGAAGAAAATTCCAAGCAAGACAATACTGATAGCCTTCAAATAGTTGCCTCTAGACCTATAGCCAGACTAAGCAGGCTAAGCAGGCTCCTAGAGGGGAGCTACAAAGTGTGTAGTCCATGAGGAAGTACATGATACTAAAGAGCTTAATAATTTTGCTAACTCATTCAGAGGTCTGGGGAATATATGTGGGAATGGATTTTAAGGATGTAATCAGGCAGAGTTTATTGATACGGGCCTTCTGGGTGGAGATCTAGGTTTAATATGGAAACTTGAACAGCTAAAAAGGAAATAAGCACACTTTCCAGGGTCTATTGGATACTGGTTCTTAACAGTGACTCCAGGAGATCGCAAGAAACATTGTGACTCTCCTATTAAAGTAGAGGTTTATGGATGTCAAGTGATTAATGGACTTTTGGCTAAAGTCCAATTCATAGTAGATCCACTGGATCCCTAAATTCATCCAGTGGTTCTCTCCCCAGTCCCAGAATGTAGAATTGGGGTAGATAGATTTAGAAGTTAGCAGAATTCTCACATTGGTTCCCTGACCTGTGGAATGAGGGCTCTTAAGGTTGGAAAGGCCAAATGGAAACTTTCAGAGTTGCCTCTGTCAAGGAAAATAGTGAATCAAATATAGTATGGCATCCCTGGAAGGACTGTAGAAATTAGTGGCACCATCAAGGACTTGAAAGATGCAGGTGGTGGTTTGTACCACATCTCCCTTTAACTCTCCTATCTGGCCAGTGCAGAAGACCTGAAGCATGGAGGATGACAACTATCAAAAACTCAGTCAGTAATTTTGATTGCAGCTGCTTTACCAGATGTGGTGTCCTTACTTGAGATTAACACATCTCCTGATCCATGGTATGCAGCTACTGATTAAGCAAATGCTTGTCCATAAGAACCATCAGAAACACTTGGCTTTCAGTTGGCAAGGCCAGCAGTGTACCTTTATTTAGTAAATGGTATTATGTATGCACGCCAGAAGAGGGCACCAGATATTATAAATGGTTGTGAGACATCATTTGGTTGCTGGGAGTTGAACTCAGGACCGCTGGTAGAACAACCAGTGCTTTTAACCTCCAGCACCCCCGCCAGTATACCTTTACAGCTCTACTTCAAGGATATATTAAATCCCCAGTACTGTGTCATAACTTAGAAGGGATCTGTCTCTTCCCCAAAATATTGTATTGATGAACTATATCGATGACCTTATGCTGATTGGACCAAGTGAGCAGGAGATAGCAACCACTTTGGACTCATTAGAAACACATATGCACGTCAGAGAATGGGAAATAAATCCAACCAAAATTCAAGGGCCTCAGTGAAATTCTTGGAGGAATCCAGTGGTGTGGGGCTTGCAGATATATTCCACTATGGCCGCTCCCACCACCAGTATTTAGTGGGCCTATCTGGATTCTGGAGCCAGCACATTCCTTAGTTGGGTGTGTCAGCTAGCCCATATGCCAGTGACTTGTAAAGTGCTAACTTTCCAAGTGTGGAGCCTGGAACAGGAGAAGGCTCTTCAGCAGGTCCAGGCTGCAGTGCAGGCTGGTCCCCTACTTTGACCATATGATCCAGCAGACCTGATGGTACTTTCGGTGTCAGAGGCAGATAGGGATGCAGTTTGAAGCCTTTGGCAGGCTCCTATAGGTAAATCACAAAATTGGAGCAAGGCTCTACCATCATCTACAGACAACTATTCCTTTGAAAGACAGATCTTAGTCTGCTATTGGGCCTTAGGGGAAACTTTCACAACGGGCCATCAAGTTGCGCCATGAGCTGGGTGTTATCTGGCCCACCAAGTCATAAGATAGGATGTACATAGCAGCAATCCATTACCAAATGGAAGTAGTATACACACTATTGGGCCCAAGCAGGTTCTGAGGGCACAGGCAAGTTACATGAAAAGTTGGCCAAATGCCTGTGGTTTCTACTCCTAGTACAATGTCGTCTGCTGCCAATCATGTACCTATAGCCTCTGGATGAGGAAGAGAAGACTTGGGCCTGGTTTACTGATGATCATGCAGGTTTATGCAGGCACCTCCAAGAAGTGGACAGCTGAAGCATTAACACAGCAATTAAGAGAATATCAGTGGTTATGATAGCTAAAGAACATCCCTCAAAGGACATTGCTAACTATTCTAAAATTTATAATGTGTTTGCAGTTATACAAGTGATAGTATGTCATGTTAGGTGTGAGTATGACCTGGCTATTTCCATTTGGAAATTAATCATGACATAAGGAGATGGGACTACGTGTTAAGTTGACAAGGGGTGGACTTGTGATGGCTATTCTTGGTTGTCAGCTTGACCACATCTGGGATTAACAACAAATCGTAACTGTTGTTGCTCAGAAGGAAAAACGCTTTTCCTATAGAAGTATTACAGGCCAAACATGGTGGTGCGCCTTTTAATCCCAGCACTCTGGGAGGAATAAGCAGGCAGATCTCTGTGAGTTCAAGGCCAGCGTGGTCTACAAAGTGAGTCCAGGACATCAAAGTCTACACAAAGAAATCCTATCAAAAACAAAGAAAACTCTGCTCCAACTGTGAGGGAAGGTTTACCCAATATAAGTGTACAGCTCTGTTCTGGCAGGGGTGGGTTTCCCCAGCAAAATTGTTGCAGCTCATAAAAGTATCCTAGCAATAAGAGCTAAGAACCACAAAGTCACAGCATACAACAAACCCCACACGAGAGAGTATTGGAGGCAGGGAAACCCAGGAAGCTGGCTGCTTCTATTAGCTTGAGAACTGAGCAGGAGGCACGGTTTGTGTAGGGTTTCTTGGGGAGTGGAGCTTTCCTGAGTGGCCTGGTTTTGTGGTAACCTCGGGGATTGGTGGCATGCTGTGGCGAGGAAGGGATTGATGAGATTCTGTTTCTTGGCCTTGGGGTCAGGTCAAGGTCAGGGTATTCTGTCCCTGGCCCATTTACCCTACAATCATTAGACAACTTCCTGCTGCATGGGATCATTGAAGTCCTTGGGGCAAGTTTGCACTTCACTATCAGGATATAACCAGGAGTTGCAGGCCTATGGCTCTGTAGCTAGGGACAGGTAATTCTGTAATAGCAACTGATTGAAAGTCTGGTTAGAAATCGCTTGGATTTTTTTGTTGAAGTCTAGACAAAAAGTTAAAATATTAAACTTTAAATATTAAACAAGCTGCTGGGTGCATGCCTTTAATCCCAGCACCTGGGAGGCAGAGGCAGGTGGATTTCTGTGACTTCAAGGCCAGCCTGGTCTACAGAAAGAGTTCCAGGACAGCCAAGGCTATACAAAGAAACCCTGTCTCTTAAAAAAAAAAAAAAAAAAAAAAAAAATGAAGTTTAATATTAAACAACTTTAATATTATCCACACTCATAAGCTATTTGAATCCCTGTTTAAGTGAATCCAGTAGCCAGAAAACCCAGAGATAAGTTCTAAGCCCTGGCCATCAGAGCAGCCATGGCAAGCACCATTAGCAGTGGTCATGTGCTCAGAGGAGATCAGTCAGAAACAAAACATGTGGTGGCCACAGCCGGTCATTCAGCTGCGCCTCACCCATTTCCATCTCCGCTCCCTTGTTTGCCACAAGATGAAAAAACTCAGACCCATCTGCACTTACAAAACAGACAAAACTGGGCAAACAACCAGGACCAGGTGGGCAGGCAACCTTGCTTTTGCCCTGGATGGGAGTGAAAGACTTTTGTAGTTGGATGATAAGAGGAGGATTATGTTTAGCTAGAGGGTTTTTTTTCACCCTAGATAGGAAATATCTCATCCAGTTGTTTTCAAGACAACCTTTTATATCCTTCCTCCGGATGGTTGGCTTATTCTCTTGGATTCCTTTCTGTCTTCTCACCTGCTCCTTATATGAGGCGGCCCTTGGCCCTTCACACGAGCCCTTCTTCATAAGCTTCACCAGGCCTACCTGCGGGCCCTGGCCTTACAGCTTCCAGACTTAACTCTTCCCTTCTCATTCTGTTACAGAAAAGGAGAGATATACCCTCAGGATTCTGGGTCACCAACTGGGACCTTTGTGTATGTTCCATACTTATCAAAAAAAAAAAAAGAGACTATATTGTCCAAGGATGGGCACCTTGCCTGCATGCTCTGGCCAGAGCTGAACTTATATTCATTTAAAAAGTTAAGCTTCTGATAGCCCACTCCTGTCTTCTCTTTTCATGACCTATCCCATCTCCTAACATGCAAACACTCCAAACTATTACTTCCTTCATGATTTCTTTCTTTTCAGGTAGCATTGGTAAAGGATGCCACACTTACATTTTAGCCATGCCCATGTCTAAATGTTTCGTTTCTTTTTTTCTTTGAAACAGGGTTTCTCTGTGTAGCCCTGAGTGTCCTGAAACTCACTCTATAGCCAGGCTGCCCCCAACTCTGCCTCTTAAGTTCTAAGGTGTACACAACCACAGCCTGACATCTTAGCATTTTAAACTGACTCAGCTAATTTGACTCTTTTTTTAAAAAATATATTTATTTATTTTACATATATGAGAACTCTCTCTGCATGCCAGAAGAGGGCATTAGATCCTAGTATAGATGGTTGTGAGCCACCATGTGGCTGCTGGGAATTGAACTCATGACCTCCGGAAGAGCAGATAACTGCTGAGCCATCTCTCCAGCCCCTGATTTGACTCTCTTAAGATATGTACAGATTATCTGTTTCTGCTGGCTTCTGCCACTGCTCATATTTGGTTCCAAATTCTAGAGTCTGCCTCTTCAGCAGCTTCTCGCCTCCACCAGCGCTAACCATCTTTTTGTCTCTCCCCACGTACTTGGTGCCCTCTCTCTAGCTCCTGGAGGCCACTACGTCCTCCACCCTCCGGGGCCTCATGGGCATCTCTCCACTTGCCCGTCTATTGGAACACTCCTGTTTCTTACCTCCTGCCCTTAGCAGCTGTCTGCTAAGTTCTGCAGCTTCCTTAAGCTCTTCCTGTCCTCTGCAACCTTGTCCCCCTGCCTCTCAGCCCCACCCTGAAAGTCTCACACCTTCTCTAAGCACTCCCAGGCCGCTTTCTGGTCTTGGGCTCCCACTTGGAGCTTATAAAGCCCTCTTCGGCAGAGTTCATTTTGTGACCCTTCCCCTCTTCCTCCACCGACTCAGATCTTATTAAATCCTCACTCTGTTACAACAAACAGCTTGGCCTCAGTACAGTTCAATGGCCAAAACTGCCATGCTCAGTTGTCAATGGTTGCAGCTTCTGCCACCACACAAACTTGTTTTCTCCTCCTCTATTTCTTTCCATATACACCTGCTGGAGTAGTTCTTACAGATGGATGTTTATCATGAAAGAGAGACCCTACCTTCTAACCAACAGCCTGTCCTAATAGGGTAGGAAAATTTTGTTCTATAGCAGGCTGTCAAAGGGTGATCAAATTCCCTATAACTCCCTTATTCATCTCTTCTTCACCCGGGCTTACCTCCATGGCTGATTTCTCTATTTTTGTTTGATAACTTCTGAGAATTAAAATCACAAAAAGAGTTTATGAGAGATAGGTTTTAAAAAAAACTGTTTAACAAGGTATTAAAGCTGGACCTCCTTGAACTCGTATACAGTATACAAAAATGTACCTCATGCTGGTAGCCAGATTTTGTAATATAAGTCGCCTAGGTGGTAGTTTTAAAAAGATATGGAGTCATAGAGAGCAGCTGAGACTTAGCACTGTGTGGCAGGACTGAAGTTCCTAAAGAGAGCCCAGGAGAGGCTATTGGTGGAAACAGCCCAGCTGCAGTGAGTCTAAGAGTGTGTAAAGGTCTGAGGATTCGACAGCTTAAAGTTCTCAAAGTACAAGGTGACTTTATGAAGTCTGCCTTTTGTTTCTGTGTGGGTTCTTCTTTCTTCCACCCTTTCAACTCCCTAACACTAGATAAGAGAGAACAGGGATAAAGAGGAAATGAGGCAACATTTTCATTACTGCCTGCTGATTAGGGGCATCGAGCTCTTTAGAGCAAGTTTGACCTTTGTCATCAGGAGATCTAGCTTCTTCTTTCTTCTTTGTGCACAACTACTTAACAAACAGCAACCAACCCACCAACCACTCATCCTCCATGCCCTAGCACTTATATACCCTCCGAAAAGTTCCCAGAATTCCAAATGTCACCAATCTCAGAAACTATCTGCAGCTGGCAAAACCACGCCTCTGCTTGAAAACAAGGCAAATCACAGCTGCTGCAAAGTAGCTCAATATCCCCACACCTGGGATTGAAACAAAAACATACTCTTCTAATACTTTTATTCCTTTTTTTAAGATTTATTTATTTATTATGTATACAGTGTTTTGCCTGCATGTACACCTGCAGGCCGGAAGAGGGCACCGGATTTCATAGATGATTTTGAGCCACCATGTGGTTGGGAATTGAACTCAGGACCTTCAGAAGAGCACCCAGTGCTCTTAACCTATGAGCAGCTCTAATTCTGTGTCTTTTAAAAGACCCCAAATTCCAAAATTCTCACTACAGATTTAAGGTAATGAACAAATATTTCAGATTTCTTTCCCCCTATTGTTACAAAATTTCAAAGGTTCAGGAAACCTATACTCAACAGTTCAGACACTACTCTCATGGTCAAGTCTGCAGACTGCTCACAAGCAGGTTCCCAAAAAAGGCCTAAATCAACATTTTTTTTTCTTTTCTTTTTTTTTTTTTGTTGTTGTTGTTGTTGTAGTTGTTTGTTTTTGTTTTTGTTTTTGTTTTTTTAAAAAAAAAGGTTTCTCTGTGTAAGAGCCTTGGCTGTCTTGGAATTCACTTTGTAGACCAGGCTGACCTTGAACTCAGAGATGCCTAATTAACTTTTAAAACACCCGTCTGCCATGCTTGTTTGCTTTTGATCAAACTAGAGATTACTGTCTGTTACAGTAATAGCCTCCAGAAACTTATAGAGGCTTCCCCTATTGATCCTGTAGGAGACATGATGCATATTCAGGATGGTGTTGTCCCTTTTATGCAGAACGAGGGATCTTTTACATCCTAAGTAAGGCTCCATGGCACCGCAGAGGGGAGACAGGGTCACTAGTAAACTTTACTACAGCATTTATCGCAGCTGTCCATCAAGCACAATCAAAATACAGAGGGTACCATCGTACTCTCTCGACCCCTAGGTATAGACACAGAAGTGGTCCAACATTCCTCAGAGGTTCTCATCTCCCTAACATCCTCCTTGGACAACACCGATCCTACCTCTCCGTCCTCATGGTCACTCCATCTCGTTTCAAGCCCTAACCTCTATACATCACTTACTATAACATTGCCTGGCCACTTTGAAGAATGCTGGTAGAGAGTCCCTCCCGGGTCCTAGCCTCACCCATTGGACTATAAGGCTCTCTCTCACCTCGCTGCGCATTAACTGCTCTGAGCTGGAGGGCTGTGGCACCTGCGCTTCAAGCATTCTGTAACCCTGAGCAAATCCATAATCTCTTTCGAATCCGTTCTTCTCTGGCTGGTTTCTCCCCTTCTATCCTCCTTCCTAGCGGAGTCCTCTGCAGCCCCTGGGCTTGGCTGACACAACTGATCAGACCTGTCAGATGGTCCTTCCTAGGACCCTGGGGTAGAGAAGAGCGGCCTTTCCTGGAGCTGAAGAAGGAAGCATGACCACTCAATTGGACTGAGGAAGGGACAGAGCCTCCGCCTCCAGGAGATTCAGAAGGCCCAGGCCGGATTCAGAGCCCTTGGTTCTCTTCTTGACTGTTTGGAAGATTTCCTCCAAAATTGTATCTCACAGCCCCGCATACATGCCGTCATGTGTTCCGGGACCTGCGATCCCTGCCTACGAGCTGGACCCTCTGCGCTCTAGGCCAGGATTTAGAAAACCAGAGAAGGCTCTGGCACGGTTCAGCCAGTCAAACCTTACAGGCAGTGCACAGTTGAGGACGGTGGGCAGGGCTCGGCGGTGGGTCTCCAGGCTGTGGGAGGGGCGTGGGTGGGTAGGACCCAGGCGACTTTCGGGGGTAAGGTATCCGCCCTCTTCGGTATCTACTTTGCTCCGCCCCAGAGACCAGGAGACCCGCTGGGCGTGCTCTCCTAGGCTCCACCTATGTAGGCCCGCAGCTGCGCTCCGGGGAGTCGCCCAGTTCCTGTTTTCCGTCCTATCGCTTGATCAGCCCAAAGGGAATGATTCTGTATTCCCAAGAACCATCTCGTTGCGACCCTGGCGCCACCCGGGCCCTGCACCGCACTCCACCGCAGCCGCTGAGGAGGAGGAAGAGGTCCTGGAGCCAGCACTAGTGGGGCAAAGTTCAGGTGCGCGTCTCAGCCCGAGCCTCTGGAATTGAATCTCCTCTTGGACCTGCCGGGTTTGGACCTGGGCTTGGTTTCTCTGTCCAGCTCGAGCCCGAAGCTAGTGAGGCAGGAAGTGGCGAGCTGGGGAGGGAAACTGGCCCCAGAGGGCGAGAGAAGGAACGGGTTTGCTTTAACAACCGAGTGTGCAGGGCACTAACCCCCAGGACCTCAGACCTGGGAACTTTCTATTTAGGGTCCACCACGCTCTCTGTGGTCGGTAGCAGCATCACGTCTTCCCCCAACCCTTTGGCGGTAGAGAACAACCAAACAGCCGAAGATTGGTGAAGAGCCTTCTGCTGTGTCCCACAGAGCTTAGGCCCCGCCTCCCTCAGGTGGACAGTCACAGCTTTAGGAAATGAAGAGCCCACATTCGTGAGCTGAAGTCACTGGGGATGCTGACCCAGCCTGCCCCTAGGTGGCCCCTTATCACTTTTGCTGATGAAGGGACAGAGCCTAGGCAACAGACCGCTGCTTGGGGGAGACATCTTAGCTGCTACTGAGCACTAAGGCATTGTCCCTGCTGCTTCCCAATGCTGAACCCGAGGTCAGCTGAAGGAGGAAAATAATTAGAGCATTCTTTGCAGGCGTTTCCGAGACCTCAAGAGAGGCAGGCTCAGCCTGACAGACCTGGGAGGAAAGTGCCTGATTGGCCAAGGTCCTTGGGGGTCTCCGAAGGTGCCCAGCCTCTGATCAGCACCCAGTGATGACCCGCCGAAGACTGGGCCTGGGCCTGGCATTCTGCCTGTTCGCTAGCATCAGTCTCTGGGTCCTGTGGTGAGTTGCCTTTTGGAGTCTCCCCACTGCCCTTCACATCACTTCTCTCTGCCTGTCACCCCTGAACCTTGATACTCATACAGTTTTCCAAGTCCAACTAGTCTCTCGAGCCTCAGGATCCTCCAGCCTCAGCCAGACTAACTAGTTTTGGCTTTTGTGTTTTACCATGATTTGGCTTCCCAGCCTATAACTTGCCATGTTTTCTGCCTAGATTGTCCTTGAGACCGTGTTATAAGGAACCCTGTTCATGCTCTTAAAGTCACCCCGTTGGCCTTGTAGGGAGCTACTGGCATTGCATGTCTGTCTCCTTACTGTCTGTCTGAGGGACGTGGCATCAAGGACATAGCCATGCCATGAGTGAATAGCCATGTGGACAATAAGACAGCTACACACCAAGCCCTGTGCTGCATGCAGGCGCTGTCCTCCATAGACAACAACCATAGCGGGATGGCGCTTCTTCCCAAATGCACTGAAGGTCTTTGCTCCTGATAAAGTGCAAGTGGTGTCAGCCTCTGAGGCGGAGTAGCATTAGCAGTGTTTTTTTTTCTTTCTAGTGGATATGTCAAGGACTGGCTGCTGGTCTCCTACGTGCCCTATTACCTTCCCTGCCCAGAGTTGTAAGTATGGGGCTAGGGGATTTGGGGGCAGGGTGGGGTGGCCATATTTGCAGAGACAGGGACCCTTTGGGGCTGACGTTGTTTGAGGGTGCCCGTTCCTCAGCTTATGGCTCTGAGAAGTGCCACTTGCAGTTGCCACAGGCATGTGCTAAGAACCTGAGACTTCAGCCCTCAAGCATCCTGCTGCCCTCAGCATGCCTCTGCTTTAGCCACACTGCACAGCTCCGGGTCTCCCTTGTTGCTTCCTGTGCCTGTTAGATGGAATGGGTAGACATGCCTCTCCTGGCTGATGCTTATGGGGAGCCTGGTGTCCTGGTGCGGAGAAGGTGGTCAGTAAACAGCCCTGTAAGGAAGGAACCTCTTATTTCATTTTGTGTGAATGCAGGGAACTGAGTGGCACTGGGCTGAGGCCTTCCCCACTTGGTGAACCTAAGAGTGAAAACACTGGGCCTTATGAATTTTTGTGTTTCATAACAGCGAAAGAAAAGTTAAGCATCTGGGTTAGTTATAGCCTATTTGATAACATGGGTGCTTTATTATTTACTTATTGTTTTTTTTTGTTGGTTGTGATGGGGTTTTTTGTTTGTTTTGTGTGGTTGTTTTGTTTTGTTTGAGACGGGGTTTCTCTGTGTAGCCCAGGCTGGCCTCCAACTCAGAGATCCACCTGCCTGTGCCTCCCAAGTGCTGGAATTAAAGGCATGTACCACCACCTGGCATAACACATGTGTTGTAGGTTATTAATATTTATTATTGATTTATCTTTTAGTTAAACAGCGGTTATTCCAAAACCAGCTGTATACCCAAATCACCACACAGAGACTTAGGATTTATTTAATTAACCTAGAGCACAATGCTGGACAATAGTTACTCCATCCTAAACCTCCAAGCCTGTATAGTTTCCTACCATTCAGAGTTCACCCATTATACTTGATTTTAGTCATGTCTTGGGTCCAGCTCATCTCTCCTAGTGGTTTGAAGTCCTCTCCTGCTGATCCCTGCTCTCCTACTCCTTCCCCTCACTTCCTTCTCCTCCCCTCTGGACCAGGATGTCCCACCCTATTCTCTCTCTCGCTCAGCATTGGGGCTGGTTGTTTAATTGACAGTACAGAGAACAAATGGTGGCATGTTTACACAAACTTGAAACAGGTGATGCTTAGAATAAGCATCACAATGCAATGTCCGGATTGAAACCAGAGAGTGGGCTAGAGAAATCAGCATTTGAATGAACAAGGGTAAATTGTATTCATTCCAAAAGAACATTATATCAACACACGTTTTATTAAAAAACAGAATGTAGTACTGTTTTAAGCCTTATCCAGATGTTTATAACAGGATACCATAGCCCTGGCCCCAGATCAAGGAGCTACTTGTGTTGAATTTGTTAATGGCTTTCTTGCTGGCAAGGTCCCAGGACAGTATAGGGCATTAATTGTATGGTAAGGGACAGATAGGATATGTGTGCATATTTTTTGGTCTTTTTGTTTTTTTGTTTTAAAGACATGTTTTTGTGGGTTTTTTGTTTTTGTTTCTTTTTTTGCTTTTGTTTGTTGTTGTTGTTGTTTTTTTTTGTTTTGTTTTGTTTTTTCGATAGGATCTACCTGTCCTGGAACTCCTCTCTAAATCAAACAGGCTGACTTTGAATTTACAGAGATCTGGTCTCCTGGGTGCTAGAATTAAAAGTGTACACTATCACACCTGGCTTTTATTATTATCATTATTATTAGTTTGGGCTTTTTCTTTTTTGGGTTTTTGTTTTGTTTTATTTGGGGAGAGGGTTGTTTGTTTGTTTGTTTGTTTGTTTTCAAGACAGGGTTTCTCTGTGTAGCCCTGGCTGTTCTGAACTGGCTTTGTAGACCAGGCTGGACTCAAACTCATGGAGATCCTCCTGTCTCTGCCTCCCAGAGTGCTGGGATTACAAGTGTGTGCCACCACACCCAGCCAGTTTTGTCTTGTTTTGTTTTTTTTGAAACAAACAACAACAACAAAAAAAAAAAAACAGTTTTTTATGAGAAAACTACATTGTTTCTCTTATGTAGTTCTGGCTGTCCTAGAATTTACTCTGTGGACCAGGCTTGCCTTGAACTCACAGCTATCTACCTGCCTCTGCCTCTCTGCCTCTGCCTTTTGAATACTGGGATTAAAGGTGTATGCCACTTTGCCCTGGTTATTATTAGTTGTTTTTAATGTGCTTGGGTATTCTGCCTATATGTATCTCTATGTACCTAATGCCTGGTGCCCCCCAGAGGCCAGGAGAGGGCATCAGAACCCCTGGAACTGGAGTTACAGGTAGTTGTGAGCCACCATGTAGGTATTGGGAATTGAATCCAGGTACTCTGGAAGAGAAACCAGTTCTTTTAACCTCCAAGCCATCTCTTCAGTTCCTTTACAGGGTCTTATGTAGTTCAGGCTATCTGTCTGTCTTAGTCACTGTTCTGCTGCTGTGAAGAGGTACCATGACCAAGGCAACTCTTTTTTTTTTTTTTTTTTTTAAGATTTATTTATTTATCATGTATACATTGTTCTGTGTGCATGTACACCTGCTCACCAGAAGAGGGCATCAGTAGTTAGTCCGTTATCATCATGGTGGTGACCATATGGCATGCAGGCAGGCATGGTGCTGAGAGTTCTACATCCTGGTCCATAGGCAACAGAAAGAGACTGAGCCTGGCATGGCATTTTGAAACCTCAAAGCCCACCCCCACTGACACACTTCCTCTAACAAAGCCACACTTATAAGACCCGATGGGGACCATTCTTACTCAAACCACCACACTGCCCCGTTTAGGTTTCCGTCCCTGTGATAGAATGTCATGGCCAAAAGCAGCTTGGGGAGGAAACCATTGATTGGCTTACATGTCCCCAACACAGTCCATCATGAAAGGGAGGTCGGGTTGGAACCTGGAGTCAGGAACTGAAACAGAGGCCGTGAAGGAGCACTGTTTACTGGCTCCTTGCTCAGCCTGCTTTCTTATACCATCCGAGACCATCTGCACAGGGGAGGCACTCCACACTGGGCGGTTGTCCCACATCAACCATTAATCAGGAAAATGACCCCATATAGTTGCCTACAGACCAGTCTGATGAAGGCATTTCTCTGTTGAGGGTCCCTGATCCAACACGACCTAGCTTGTGTTAGGTTGACCCTGAACTCACTACATTTGAGGATGACTTTGTGCTCCTGATTTTCTTGCCTTCACTCCCGAGTGCCGAGATCACAGTCATGTGCCACCATACCTGGCTCATCTTTACTTTCAGTTTATTCCCTTCAAATGCTTAGATTGTGAAGTTTCTTTTTTTGGCAAGTGTATGGTAGGCTAAAAGCCTCCTGTGTAGTAAACAGGTTCTTTTCCCCCGAACTACACTCTCAGCCCCAGCTTCTTTATTCTCGTGTATTATTCCCTAATGTAACTAAAGCGTGTCTGGGCTTGTAGGAAAAGGAAATCACCACCAGGCTGCACAGAATGCTGGGCCCTGGTGCGGCATCCTCATCTTGATTCTGACTGCCTCCTCAGAACCCCTTTATTTCCTGAGCAAGGACACAGTAGACAGTTTGAAGATTGAAAATTACAGAGGAGAGGCAAACCATGAACAAACAGACTCTCTACGTTCAGAGTACTGTGAGACTCTTCTTGGAATAAGCACATTAACACCAATGAGAATGCAAGAGAGGAGATGTCCCCCAAGGACCAAAGCCAGACAGTTCCTGAAAGGCTCCTGTCCAGGACTCAGTTTGCATTCTCACTTGAGACTTTAAAACGACAAGGCAGGGCAGGCAAGCATGTAAGATTTTACAGAAGCAAATATGACAGTCAGCAGGTGGTTAAGGGCAATGGCCTATTGGCTTGGTTGTTTCTCCAAGTCATCCTGTTTCAGGTAGCCTTTTAGGTGGCAAGTGAAGTCATCCTTGGCCAATACACAGCACAAGCAGTGCTTTAGGTAAATCACTAAATAAACCAATAAAGCAGTATCTAATAATTGGTCTTTTCTATCTTATTCTACTTCAAGAGGTACCAGTTCACAGAGGCAGAAGGATGTGGCAGGTCTTCCATGGGCAGGCCCACAGGGAGCCACTGTTTCATGTATCCAAATTTAGAATGACAAAGAAAACATTCTGTCTGTTTGTTTGAGACAGGGTTTCTCTGTGTAGGCTTAGCTGTCCTGGACTCACTCTGTAAGACCAGGCTGGCCTCAAACTCACAGAAATCCGCCTGCTTCTGCCTTCCAAGTGCTGGGATTACAGGTGTTGCACCACTGTGCACTTACAAGTAATTGAAATAGGGCCTGTGAGAGGGCTTCCTTGCAAGTTCAATCTCCAAAAGCTTTGAAAATAATGGGTGTGGGGTGTGTACTCCCTTATAGTTCCCAGGCTGAGGAAGGGAAGACAGGTAGATCTCTAGGGTTTGCTGCTAGCCAGCCTAACCTACTAGGAGTGAGACCCCATCTCAAAGAAAAGGTGAGACACCTCTCCCTTGAGCCCACATGTATCCTCTTGGGTGTCTTTTTCCCTAGTAACAACCTCCTTCCCTCCTTCTTTCTCTCTCTCCCTTTCTTTTTCTCTTTCTTTCCCTCCTTTTTCTTTTTTCTTTTTTTTTTTTTTTTTTTTTTTTTTTTTTGAGACAGGGTTTCTCTGTGTAGTCTAGGCTGTCCTGGACTTGCTTTGTAGACCAGGCCGGCCTCACATTTATAGTGATCTGCCTGCCTCTGCCTTCCTGCATACTGGGTTTGAAGGTATGTGCCATCTCACCGGCCCTCTCTTTCTCTTAACCCTTATGTTTAAGCCTATATTAAGGAGTCCTTAACAAGTCCCACTCTGTCTTGTCTTTGTCACCAGCAACATGAAGGTGCAGTTCAGGCGAGAGAAGTTGCCCCAGCCCATGGCACAGTAAGTATACCCTTTCTCCCTAGATTCTAGGCCCAGAAGTGAGGGCTGCCTTACTCACCCTGGCTCTTCTTGATTACAGGTTACAGTACCCTCAGCCTAAGCTGTTAGAACGCAGGTATGTGTCAGGGAATGGGCGTGGTAGTGGCAGGGAGGGGAACGGAAGAGACCCAATGTGGCTAGAGGATGGTGGAAGCACCAATAGCAGAGGGGTCCTGGGCCCAGAGAGTCCGGGAGATAAGCTTCACCTATCACTGGCTGTGTGACCTTAGGTGGCTGGCCATCTGCTCTGTGCTTTTATCTTTTGAAGAGATCATGATATGACCTACGCTGTAGAAGGCTGGAACAGTGAACAGTGGTTCTGTGGCGCGTGCCTTAGACAGGAGCATGTCACCTATGGTACATTCTATTGCATTATGGTATCCCCTGGTCTGCAGTGGGACTGCCAGGACCCTCCAGAGCAGTGGTTCTCAACCTTCCTAATGTCGTAACCTTTTACTACAGTTCCTCATGTTTCGGTGATCCCCAATCAAAAAATGGCTTCATTGCTACTTCATAACTGTAATTTTGCTACTGTTGTAAATCATAATGTAAATCTCTGATATGCAGGATAGCTGATATGTAACTCATGTGGGGATTGTGACCCACAGGTTGAGAACCACTGCTCCTGACACTGTGTGTCAGTGCCAACTCCTAGATTTCCCAGCCCTAGCAGGAGATAGCTGTTACTATCTCCACTTTCACATGGGGAAACTGAGGCCCAGCAACAGGGCCACATTGCTGCCCAGGCTTCTGAACAGGGAGGCCTCCATGGCCTGAGCCTTCCCCATGCCAGGCCCACAGAGCTGCTGACGCTTACCCCCTGGTTGGCACCCATCATCTCCGAGGGAACCTTCGACCCGGAGTTTCTGAAGAATATGTACCAACCACTGAACCTGACCATCGGAGTCACCGTGTTTGCCGTGGGGAAGTGAGTAGTGGCTTAGGCATGGGTGGGGTTTGGTCTCCTTGAGCCACAGCAGTTTCTGGTCTGGGGAGAGGTCAGCCTGGCCAAGTGCTGTACAGAGATGTGGGAGAGTTTTCTGATGTAAGGCCTCACCTGCCATGAAAAGGGAGATGCGAGAAGCCTAGGTGAAGAATAGCAGAGTATAGAAAGAGACTTTGTCTTCCCTTCTTCTCCTTGTCTTTTAAGTCCACTTGGGAACCATGATTGGGCCCTAGGATGTAAAGTACTGGCCAGATGAAAAATGGACAACAAAGATCAGATGACCCCTTGTCTGAGGGATGGAGCCATGCCATCCACTCTGCTGTATGTCCCCAGCGCCTAGCATTCATATTCCCTTGATTCTGTCCCCCCGTTAGCAGCTCAACTGCTTCATTCATCCTCCTGTTGCTCAGTATTTGTGCATATAAGATGGTCTAGTTTCTAAGCAGATCATTAATACTAAGAAAAAGACCATGGGAATCGCAAAGAACACTGTCCGGCTTCAGTAAATGCTCAGTAAAAGCAAGATGGCTCAGCAGATAAAGGCGCTTGCCTTTAAGCCCAATGATCTCAATTTGATCTCCAGAACACATTCAGGGTGGAAGGAGAGAACGGATGCCTAAAAGTTGTGCTCTGAGTTCCACAGGCACCCCATGGCATGCATACATATACATAAATAAATGGTTTTTAATTTTTAAAGAAGCACATTAAGACACTTTGAAAGGCAGCTCAATTGGTAAAGTGCTTTTCATGCAAACATGAAGACTTGTGTTCCATCCCCAGCGCCCATGTAAAGAAAGCCATACCCAACAGCACATGCCTATAACGCTAGCAGGGATGCAGAGAAAAGTACATCACTGAGGTTTGCAGCCCAGTCAGCTTTGCCAGATTGGTGAGGTCCAGATTCATTAAGACCCTGTCTCAAAGCCGGATGCAGTGGCACACACCTGTAATTCCAGAACCTGAGGAGGCAGAGGCAGGCGGATCTCTGTGAGTTCGAGGCTATCCTGGTCTACAAATTGAGTCCAGGACAGCCAAGGCTACACAGAGAAACCCTGTCTCAAAAAACATACAAACAAAAAGACCCTGTCTCAGAAAAATAAGATAGTGGGCGGCAATGATGTACATCTTTATATCCCGGCAATCGGGAGGCAGAGGCACTTGGATCTCTGAGTTCAAGGCCAGGCTGGTTGACAGAGAGTGTTCCAGGACAGTTAAGGCTACACAAGAAACTGTGTCTCAAAAACAAAAGCAAAACAAAACAAAACAAAATAAACCAAACAAAGAAACAAACCAAAAACCACCAGGAGCAAGCAATGAGGAAGATGCCCAGTATCAGCCTCTGGTACACATAAACACACAGACGCAGCTGATTAAGGACCAGACTCTCATGGTTGTCACCCACTGAGAATCCCTGATTAGAAACACTTGGACCAGAAGTGTCTCACAGTACAGACTTTAGAATTTGTGCAGACTTTAACAATTATGCATCCTAATCCCAATCTCTGAAGCAGGGCATTCAGATAAGGGTGTCCAACTTTGACAAAGATTGTGGGAGCTGGACAGATAAGGACCCCAAGGTCAGACCTGAATGACTTCTTGAGGTGGTAAGCTAGTGTGTAGACTTCAGGGAATACAGGGTACCCCAGGCAGTGGTGGACAGCAGTGGTTAACAGCGTTGTCATCCCCAGGTACACCTACTTCATTCGATCCTTCCTGGAGTCAGCTGAAGAGTTCTTTATGCGTGGGTACCAAGTACACTATTACCTCTTCACCCATGATCCTGCAGCTGTTCCCAGAGTCCCACTGGGCCCCGGTCGGCTCCTCAGCATCATCCCCATCCAGGGTCACTCCCAGTGGGAGGAGATCTCCATGCGCCGAATGGAGACCATCAGCAAACACATCGCCGAGAGAGCCCACCAAGAGGTGGATTACCTCTTCTGTCTTGATGTGGATATGGTCTTCCATAACCAATGGGGCCCTGAGACCTTGGGAGATCTAGTGGCTGCCATTCACCCAGGCTATTTTGCTGTACCTCGCCAGCAATTCCCTTATGAGCGCAGGCAAGCGTCCTCTGCCTTTGTGGCAGACAGTGAAGGGGACTTCTATTATGGTGGGGCAGTCTTTGGGGGGCGAGTGGCCAGGGTGTATGAGTTTACCAGGGGCTGCCACATGGCCATTCTGGCGGACAAAGCCAACGGCATCATGGCGGCCTGGCAGGAGGAGAGCCACCTGAACCGCCGCTTCATCTGGCACAAACCATCTACGGTGCTGTCCCCAGAGTACCTCTGGGATGACAGGAAGCCTCAGCCCCCAACTCTCAAGATGATCCGATTCTCCACAGTGGACAAGAATACCAACTGGCTGAGGAGCTGACAGCGGAGCTTAAGACCCACCCACAGCCCTGTCAAATCCCACCCACCCCATGCCAAGCACAGTCTACCAGGGGAGTCTAACCAGAAAAAAAGGAGTAGAGACGGTGTAACCTATGAGGGGCTGTGTACCCATTGTCATATAGTGATCTAGCTATATGTTTGGACAAGAGGGAGGCCAGAGCTTCAAAAACCACAAGGCCTGGCAGGTCACCCACCCCCAAGGCAGGCCCTGGAGTCCAGCCCTGCTCAAAGTGCCTGGAGGCCCGCTGCTGCCCTAACTTGTTAAATGCTGCTTTTTAGATTTGTTTTAATCTGCAGTGTTAGGGATCAAACCTGGGGCCCTGCACATTGAAGGGAAGTTCTGCCCCTGAGCTATGCTCAGCCCTGCCTACTGCCTTGAAGCTGCACTTTAATGACCTTATCCCAAGTACCATGCTGTTCCCCCAGCCATGTGCACTAGTTAGTTCTTCATTCAGGGTTCCGGAGCTAGCTTGGAAGATGGCCAGGCTTAGATTCCCTCTGGTCACCTGCATCCCATGGCAAGCCACACTCTCAGGGACTAGATCATTGCTTGTTACACAGTTTGAGGTAGCTTTCAATAAACGGTGGTGTATACTATAGTCCTGACCAGGGTTTTGCCTACACAGTGGACTGTTCTGCCAGTCACGATAGGTCTGGCGGACACAGGCATACTGTATTTCAAACAGCCTATGTGGGGAGAGGGTTGGCTAACGGTTATTCCAGGAGACTGAGCTGAACCTGGCTGCTGCCAGAGAATTTGCTCATTCCAATTCTAGGAGTCTGGGGGAGGTGGGGTTCTGTGGAGAGATGAGGAACACCTAGAGGGTAACAGTGCTCATCAGTGTCATTGTGCCCTTGGTCCCTGGACATACAGGAGGTGTGTTTGTTATGCCCCTTTGTATCCATGGCCACTGTGCCTCTGGGAGGTCACTGGTGGGTATGGGGCTCCAGGGCAGTGGGACAAGATCGGCCAGAATCAGAGAGTGTAACCGCTTGGACCCAGAACCTCAAAGGCCCTTGGAGTCCAGGCAGAGATGGAATTGGACACTGGTTGAGAGCTTGGTTGCTTAATACACACTTCCCTAGGCTGCAGTATCTTTTCCATGGAAGGAAACAACGTGGGTATGCTCTGAAGTCATGCAGGCACCCCATAACCTACCCGACCCTGGCAAAGTTGGAGGCTCTCCCTGAGCCTATTATTCTATACCTTGTAGTTCATCTGCCAAGCAGGGGTGGTCATGAGAGTGGCGGAGAGTCTCAAGTACAAGGGTACAGCCTGGCCAGAGAGAAGGAAAGTCTAGAGCTTCTAGACTGGAGCTGGAACAGACCCAGCCTCTGTCTATGCTAGAGAGCACCTGTTTGCAGCTCCCAGGCAATGGGAATGGTCCTGAAGCAGAGCTGTGGTAAGGGGCAGGCCTGCCTTCAAAGAGTTGCTCTTTGGAAAAGGGGGTTCTGGATGTGGAGGCTAGAAGACAGGCCTGGGGCAGCATTGGTCAGCAGGGGTGAAGATGGATGATCGCTCCTGCCACATCCCGCCAGCACATCCCAGGGACAGCTGAGGCCTTCACCTGGTTCCTATTCAGAGCATGGTTCCCAGGTACCAGCAGAGAGACAGAAACCAACTTATAGAAGCAGACTGAAATCCTGGTTATTTTCTGGAAGAGGCAAGGGCTGGGGTGGGAGCTGCTGCAGCAGGAGCCTGGCTTCCTGTCTCTGAAGGTGTCCAGGGACAGTCTCAGCCTCTGTATAGAAGAATCAGAGTTGAGGTTTGTGGAGTGACAGGCACCACACTTCCAGGACAGACTAAAGTTCTGTGGGCCTAGAAACTTTAAAACCACAGAGCATCCTCTTCAAGAAGCAAGTGAACAGCTTGGAGATAGGTCAAAGTTAGGTGATACTCTCGTCATGTAAGCAAAAAAGTTCAACACAACTCATGCAGCTTACTTTGGGTTACTATTGCTGTGGTGAAATACCATGAACAAAAGCAAGTTGGGGAGGAAAGGATTTATTTGGCTTATACTTCCACATCACAGTTCATTATCAAAGGATGTCAGGACAGATCTCAAACAAGGCAGGAACCTGGAGGCAGGAGCTGTTGCAGAAGTCTTGGAGGATGCTGCCCGTTGGTTTGCTCCCCGTGGCTTGCTCAGCCTGTTTTCTACCAGCCCCTGGATGGCACCACCCACCATGGGCTGGCCCTTCCCCATCAGTCATTAATTAAGAAAATGCCCCACAGGCTTGCCTACAGCCCAATCTTAGGGAGGCACTTTTTGTTTGTTGGTTTGGTTTGGTTTTTTTTGAGACAGGGTTTCTCTGTATAGCTTTGGCTGTCCTGGACTCACTTTGAAAGCCTCAAACTCACAGAGATCGCCTGCCTCTGCCTCCCTGAGTACTGGGATTACAGGCATGTGCCACCACCAGGCTAGGAGGTATGTTATTAATTGAGGTTCCCTCCTCTCTGATGACTTTAGCTTGTGTCAAGTTGACACACGCTAAAACTATCTAGCATGCCATGTTTGGGTTTGCTTAAAAACAACAATTAAAAGCTAACCCACTACTTGTGGCTGGCAAGGCCATTTCAAAACCAATAAAATTTCTAACTGAATTCTAAATACTTAGCCCTATACCCAAAGATAAAGGTAGTGCTTACACCTCACCAAAGAAGCTTCTTTTTGTAGCAGATGAAGAGGATTACAAAAAGCTATACCTGGTCAAAATGCAGAGTACTGACCATGGGGTGCCTAGACCCAATTGATACATCTAAAACAAAACCCTTACACCTAAGTCTCAGGGACCATCACAGAAGGGAGTGTGGAAAGACCTGGAAGAACCAGAAGACTAGGACAGGATATGGGTTAACACTCCCTATTGACATGCCAACGTGGATGGGGGAATTCTTGCAGGCCTCACCCCTAGAAAGAACTACAGGATGGTTACCAGGAGAGGGCAGATCAGTCTTTTTTGGGGATAACCCCCCATAATGTAGCCAATTCCAAGAGATTAGCCCTAAACACATCTGAGCAAAATTAAATGAACTCAGCAAACTGTATTTATAAACTGTGTGACAATTATAATAAATAGTCATGAATTTGAGGAGTGGGATGGACATGGGAGGAATTGGAGGAAGAGGAGGGAGGGTAAAATGATGTAAATACAGTGCTCATATGATATTCCCCAAAAGGTACATGCAAAACAGCCGGATGTGGTGCCACACTCTGTAATCCCAGCACAGGGGAGCTGAAGAGACCCTGAGCCAACTGGCTGTTCAGTGTAGACTAATTGGCAAGCTTCAGGCTTTTTTGGAGACTGTCTCAAAAAACGTGGATAGTGCCTGAGGAACAACAGCTGAGGCTGTCCTGGGAACAAATGCTGTCGTCCCCCCCCCCCCCCCAAAAAAAAAAAAAAAAAAAAAAACAGACAAAATGACAAATGCTGACGAATCTAACCACAGAGCACCTGCTCCAGGTTCAAACTGTCCCTTTGTGGCCAGCAGCATCCATCATCATGACTGAGCTTATAGCACCTGGCCACACAACTCTGCCTGCCAGTGGAGGGAGGGACGATTTCCTGCCAATTGTTCCTGAGGACACGTCTTCCTGGGAGCCTGCCTTGATTTCTGCTGCTCTCCAGAGCAGCCGTTCTGCTTCTGCATGAATTCTCACTATGCAGCATCATTCTCAGTGCTCTTACGTGGGTTCCCAAGCACTGTCCTCTTGGGCAGTGGGCTGCAAGACAGGAGCCGAGCTTTCCCTGTGCCTGACTTCCAGGATGCAGTCCACAGTCTGAGTGGCTGGACAAGAGGCAAAAGAATGAACACTTTTGGAGTTTTAGGACCTGTGCGATGCTGGGCAGGCACACAACTCTCAGAACCTCATCAAATGGGACGATGGCTAAGAGGCCTTTTGGCACTTGTTCTTGTCGGACAGCTACTTTGACTACTCCAGCCCTGGGCCATCCAGGCAGTAGGCTGCACTTTTGAGGAACCTCAGCTGCTTATAGCTCCATGAGCCACAGGAGGGCAATGAAACAGGTGCTTGGGGCCATGCCAGGTAACAGTGCCCACTCAACCCCGCCAGCCATCCTCTCTAAGATGCCTTGGCTCTGAGGAAACTTCTTGGGCAGGGTTCAGGACTTCTAGCCTGCAGTAACCCTCAACCCTTGCCTGAAATCACTCCAAGCCCTACCTCCTCAGTCTCCACCACACCTCCTCGGTTCCTATACAGCATAGCTTTGGGGCCTGTTAACCTTGGTTTAAAACCAGAGTTTGGCTGTTCACCATAACTGGTGACAGGTAGGGTCATGGGTGACTTCTGAAATCCTGTTCTTACACTGAAAATGGGTAAATGGGCTGGAGAGACAGCTCAGTGGATGAGAGCACCAGCTGCTCTTCCAGAGGACCCACTTTCAATTTCCAGCACCCACACAGCAGCTCACAACTGTCTTTAACTCCAGCTCCAGGGGACCAGACACCCTCTTCTGGCTTCCTTGAACACTGCACACAAGTGTTACACAGAAATGTATCGTATACATAACAAAATAGTGACACAAATTTTAAAAAGTGGGTTAGTGACTGCCCTGTGAGTGTGCTTCAAAATGAAACAGGGAAATGGAGAGCCTCCAAAAGCCAACACACTGGCCAGGGAATGCCAGCACAGGACAGAGGGATGAGTGATGCCCCTAAGTCTCCCAGGCACAGTTTGAAGGTGGTCACCAAGGCTATTTAGTTGTGGCTGTTGGTGCCACTGCTCATTATAAATGAGGCTTTTTGTTTGTTAAAAGTATTTTATCTATTTTGAGACAGGGTCTCACTCTGTAGCCCTGACTGGTATGAAACCAGGATGGCGTTAAACTCAGAGATCTGCCTGCCTTTGCCTCAGACCTGGAATTTAAGGTGTGTGCCACTACACCCAGTAAGATTTATTTTTATTTATGTGTATGGTAAGTGTATCCTGGTGCCTATGGAAGCCAGAAGACTGTGTTGGAGGGCCAACGTGGGTGCTGGGAACTGAACTCCGGTCCTACGGAAGAGAAAAAAATCGTTCTTACTAGCTGAATCACTTCTCCAACTCCTAAAAGGAGGCTTAATCCTGAGTGACGAAGGACTCCTTGGTAGCAGTAACACCCCAGACCCCAACAACTGTTTGCCCCAGGTACAAGGATCTCCTTTTAGGGTCTCTCCTAACCCTCACACCAGCCAGGGACAACTTGGATCTCATGGTGACATAGAAGGGATAGGAGACACGGAAGGACTGGAGGAGCGACTCGACCTTCCTGCCAGTCCTGCCACCAGCCACCCAACAAGCTGAGTCCTGCAGGTGGCGTCGGGGTATCTGAGTAACAGGGTGTCCATGCTCATGTCCACCCAGCGTCAGCACCCGAGACGGTGATTCTAAACCCTGCCGGGGTGGGAGTTCAGCGCGGACGGCTGGGCTGAGGGACACGTGAGACCAGCCCAGTGGAGCGCTCGTTGCGCGGCGCGTGCGCGCGGCGAGGCGGGGTCACGTGCACGCGCCGAGCCGTGGACACCAGGCGGACATCCCCAGGTCTCTCTTCGCTTGCGCCCCGCGGGGGACAGACCGGGCGCGTCCCCGAGCTCGCGAGCCGGGGCCCGCCCCTCGCACCTGCGGGCGGGCTGGGCTGGGCGGGGGCGGGGCCGGGGCCGCGCTGTCCCCGCCCACCCGTCCCGAGCCCCAGGAGCTCCGGCGGAACCGAGCAGCTAGGGCCCGGGAGCGCGGCGAGGCGAGGCGCGGCGCAGACAATGGGAGAGGCATTGGCCAGGGCCGCGGAGCCCCGGGCCTGGCGGGGACCGGAGGCCGCGCCATGAGCCCCGCAGCCGGACGCCCCGCTGCTCCGCGCGCGGGCCGAGGCGAACGGCCTCTGCGAGCCCCGGGCCGCGCCCTGGGGCTGGCGATGAGCTGCCGAGGCTGAGGATGATGGTAGATTGCCAGGTGAGTCGGCATGGAGCCCTGCAGTCTGTGTGGACGAGGCCCGCTCCTACCCGTAGAGGGAGAAGGCCCGTGTCCATGCAGACCTGTCTTAGTACAGTCGGGAAACTGAGGTCTGGAAAGAGGCACGCCAGGTGGGCGGAGACCAGCGGAGAGGGAGAGGCTTCCAGCCTCTTGGGTCAGGGCTCAGCCCTGTGGTGTAGGGTTTGCTTTGGGAATGAGAGTCTCCTGCGGTCCTGGGGAACACTGGCCAACCCCCTCTTTGTGGAGCCCTCCCAGGCACGAGCGCACACCCCAACTAACTCTAGATAGATCCTGCAGACTTCCTAGGTTTCCGAGGAGGGTGGGACTATGGAGGTGGTGAGGTGGAAGAAGAGGTAGGAGGAAGATCTGTCTTGGGGCTGAGGCGTCCAATCTCCTAGCAACATTGGGGGTGCCCATTGTACGGGAGGTGCTGATGGACTGAGAAATGCTGAGATTTCCAGGGTCTGCTTGGAAGGGGCTGTCCTCAGACCAGCCTGGAGGGCAGGGCGGAGGTTCTTAGTGTGGAGGAGGCTGCTGAGAAGACCTCAGTTTCCTCCTTTGCAGACCGGGATGCTTGGCCTTTGTAACCCCCCAGGGTTCCACTGGCTTGTGGAGTGTCTCTTGGCTTTGGTTCTCCTTCAATGACCCATTACACACGAAGGTTATAGGAAAATGCCTTCCCCTGGTGGACTTGCTAAGCATAGAACAGCCTGAGGGTTTGAGTGACTTAAAGGCCCAGGTAAGCCAGAGGGCGGCAAAACTCTAGACCAGTCCTCTAGGATCCAGGGACAAGACCACCCAGGTTAGAGTGTGTGGTCCTTATTTGGAAAAGGAGTCTGAGTCATTGCGGAGACTGTAAGAGGAGGCCTCCTGAGTGAGCCAGAGCCCCTGAGCCATCAGAGCGAAAGACAGGCGAAGGGAGGTTCCAGAGGTCTTTGTGGTAACCCCTGGAACCTACAGGTCCTGTTCCTTTGCCCAGCTAAGGCCTGGGAGACCTGCTACCTTGACAACATGCAAACAAAAGGTTGTGTTTTGTTTTCTGGTTTCTTGCCTGGGGATGTAGTGCTGGTACTGGCCACCAGGGGGCAGCAGTGTCCCTGTACTCAATGGAGCAACTAGAGCCTGGGGTCAGAGTTCCCAGAGCCGTTCTCTCCTTGTTGTGAATTCCACTCTTCCAGGCGTCCCGTACTAGCGTCCCTGACCTCAGGGTGAGCTCAGGGTAAGGGCTCCGGCTTCCTCTTGTCTGTTCACTTAGTGCCTTGCATGCCTGAACTTCGACCAGTGGCTGCCTTGCTCCTGGGTGTGGCTCTTAAAATGATGGCTGTAGGCCCTGCCCTCTAGAAACTCCCAAGTATGCAAGAGGAGAAGCAGAAATTCTGGTTTTCCATCAAGGTGTGACAGCCTGCCTCTAACTCACAGCTAGCAGTCCCCAGACCTTGATAATAATCCATTTGGAGTTTTCGGTTACTGGGCCCAGATGGGTTCAGCTGGGAAGAGCAACCTTGGAGCTCGTTCTAATGTGATTGGCAGGATCCAGTAGGGCATTGGGCCTCAGTTCCATGCTGACCATGAAAGACTTCTGTGGCTTTTTTGCCATGTGGGCCTGCCTTTCTGTAGGGACAGTTCATAACAGCAGAACCTGCTTCTTCAGAGTAGAGCAGGCAAGGTGAAGGGCCAGGAGGAAACAAAAGAAAGCCAATAAGACAGAGGACACTTTTTAAACAGAATATTGGTGGTGGCTTTGTAGTCACAGGATTTGTTGACTGGAAGCTAGTCACCAACTTCAGTACACTCCAGGGGATGGAGTTAGGAAAGGTGGGAGTCGGTGGGAGACGTTACAGGCCAAGCGGAAGAGCTTGCACGCAAGCCGAAGGGAGGTCCGTGCCAGAGCGCTGCTATCGTGCTTTCTTTACTTGTCAGCACTCCAGTAGATAGACTAAGAAATGAGACCAAGAAAGGAAATGACTGTCGCTAGAACACTGACCCAGAGCCAAGCTTGTCTTGGTTTGTGCTCCTTGCCATCTTTCATCCCCACCCGTCATTCTTCTACCTCTTCAGTTTGTGCTTTAGTCACAACCCCCGAGTCATGGTGTCATCTAACAACATACACAGTCAAGTAGATGCCAGAATGTGCCCCCCCCACCCCCTGCACCAAGTGCTCATGGGAGACTAGGCAGACCCTGAGGGGCACAGTGGCTACCCCAGGAAAACAAAGGGCAGGGCTGGGTGACCCACGTGGCCTTAACTTTCTGAGGTTCAAGGACTAGGGATATGGAAACACAGAGCTTGGTTTTCCTAGCACCCAGGTGGCTGCTGTGAGCAGCAGGAAGCTTCTACCTCTTCCTGGCCTGCTCTTGCCTTCCTTGTTTCCCATCACCCCTCTCTCCACACATGCTGCTGTCTCTTGATTGCTTTTTTCCACTTTCAGGTATGTGTGTTATGCGTATATGTGCACGTACATGTTATGCATGCATATGCTTTATTTGTTTTGCTTTTGGTAGTTTTTTATTTATTTGTCTGCTTGCTTTTATGTTTTGAGACAGGATCTCTACATAGCCCTAGCTATCCTAGAACTTACTATGTAGACCCCAGAACTCACAGAGATCCTCTTCTCAGCGCTGGGAGTAAAGGTGTTTGCCAGCATGCCCGGCTTGGATGCATGTTTGTTTGCGTATGGGCACATGCATGTAGGAGGTGCTGTGCTCACTGAGGCAGGGTCTCAGTCTGGCTGGTCTTGCTAGCCAGCTTGCTTTGGAGCTCCCATCTCTCACTTGTGAGGCAGATTTATAGACAGACAGCTGTGCCCATCCAGCATTTGCCTGGGTCCTGGAGATCCAGATTCAGTCCTGGCCTTTAACCTCTGAGCATCTCCTCAGCTTCTGATTTATTCAGATGTCTGAACTTGGTAAAGTTGGAGAGATCCATTCATTAATTTGTACCTCTCATAGGCCAGGCCACACCAGAGAAGACAGGGAGAGCAGTGCAGAAAGCTGTCAGGGAGTGAGAGAGCATAGAAAGACATTCTAGGAAATGTCCTGAAGGCAGATAGAGGACAGTAGGTGTGATGGTGATGAAAATGGTGACAAGTCTGGTTTGTTGTGTCAGTGTCCTGTGGTTGCTCTAACAAGATGCCATACGCTAGATGACCCCATGCCACAGAAACTTGATCTCATGGTTCTAGAGGCCAGGAACTTAAGATCAAGATGTGTCTGATTTGTTTCCGTCACTGTATCATCTTTTTGGGTTAGGAAGAGCCCTGACCCTAACCCGTCCCAGTCTAGCCTGATGTTGACTGTATCTACAGGACCCAGGGTCTTTTGGAAGGACACAGCTGAGCCTGTGATGAGGGTATAGGGAAGACCAGGTTCCCTCAGGTATTAGGGGGTGTTTGAGGATGTGACAGGAATTGCACCCCTCAGGAAGGCTTGAGGCATAAGGCTTGGTGGTTACCAATGGTAGTGCCAGCAGGAGGCGCTGTGACTCCTGGTGTGGGAGTCCAGCTCTGTACTGCAGTGTGCTGAGTTTTCCCCCCACCAGGTCACCTGGTTGCCAGGAGACAAAAGCAAACTGTAAACAGGGCAGGAGTCATCATTGGTGACACATACTGAAGGAAATCAGAATCAGACCAGGCAGACAGCAGGGTGTTGCGGGAAGCTGTTGAGGAGGACACCTGTGCTCACCCCCACCACACACACACACACCTTGGGACCTGGACTTTCCTTCTGGTTCTTCATCAGCAAGTTGCCCTGGTCTGCTGCAGTTTCCAGACAGCTCTCCTGTTACCACCGGCCACAGGACCCAGGTCTGGAAGTAGCCTTAGGGAAAGGTGGGCTGCCTGTGCGGTACATGACTGGAAAGAACCTTGTCCCAAAAGAGGTATGGCTGCGCAGCTTGCCCTGCTCCCCTTAGCGGTTATGGTGGTCTTCTGAGATACCCTTTGGTATGCAGGGTGGTTGGGGCGATGTGGAATGGGCTCCGGTTGACATCAGTGAGGTGGGGCAGAGTTTCTGTAGTGGAGGCCAGTTCTCACAGTTACCCTCCTTTGTGTGAGTGCTGCTGGGTACAGTCTTAGCCTTGAGCTCATGGTACGTGGCCCACTGAGCTGTGTACATGTGGCCTCAGATGGAGGGCACGTCAGCCTGTTAGCAAACACACCATAAAAAGGAACACAGGGCAGGAATGTGGGGCCAGCGCCTGGTCTAAGTGGAGAAGGTGTGACTGAGGTCTCAGGACAGGGCTCAGCTTCAGCTCTGCCACCCAGAGTACGGTGGCCCAGCAGGAACTGTGCTCTGCAGGGGAGCGGTACAGGTTCTGACAGCTGCCTACACTGCTGGACCTTGATGCACTACAGCCCAGAGCTCTGTGAGGCAGCTGCTCTGGCAGCTTCTGGGTGGGAAATGCTAGTTGGCTGGGCGTGGGGACAACCCCTAGCTGGGAAATGGCAAACCCCAGGTGACACTCCTTTACAGACAAGCCAGGGAGGGGCCAGGCGCCAGGGCTAACCTGAGAATGCCTTCCAATTACACGGGGCTTCCAGTGATCAGAGCCCTGGCAGGGTGGGAAGGCCTGAGGTGGTGGTTAGCAGGACTAGAGATGTAAACAAGCCTAAACAGTTCCTCCCTCCCCCTAACTCTAATGAGGGCCTCAACTCTGCTTTCTGTGTTTTGTTGGGTCTCGAACCTCAACAGAAGTCTCTCTTGGAGGGTCGAGGTGGTCCACTCCTGTAATCCCAGCAGGAGAATTGAGTTCAAGGTCACCCTGTGGTACAGTATGAGATCTGAGTTTTAAGAAAGAAAGAAAGAAAGAAAGAAAGAAAGAAAGAAAGAAAGAAAGAAAGAAAGAAAGAAAGAAAGAAAGAAAGGGAGAGAGAGAGAGTTTTTCTTAGAGGTATGAATTGGTGGCTTCCTTGTAGGCAGGGTGGGTTTGGGGAACCTCCAGAGCCCCTTACAGGTAGCTAAGACAGCCTGAGGTGGTAGAGACGGAAAGGATTGTGGCATCCCCTTAAAATGACAAGCCCCAGAAGAAGAGAGAGTTTCCATGGCAACCTAGTACAGTTGCTTGGCAACTGCAGTCCCCAAAAATACCTGCAGGAAGGCTCCCGGCTAGGGGCTTTCCCATGGCCTGTGTGTGGCCCTTAGTTCTGAGTTTGCTAGGGTACTTCTCGTGGTTGATTCACCCACACCTTCATATAGGACCTAGCAGCCCTCACACCCTGTATCCTTCCTGAGAGAAAGCCTAGTCTACGCCCTCTACCCATCACCCCAAGCTGCAGCTGCCTAACATCGAGCCAGTCCCCTAGCAACAAAGGCCATTTCCTGGAGACCTGAGTGAGTGACAGTTGGACAGTGATAGAATGTCAAAAAATTCAGAATCAGGAGTGCAGTCAGTTGTGGCCTGGGCCAGCCATACAGGAGGGGCAGGCATAATGTTTTAACACCCCCCACACATACAGACCCTGTAGCCCTGGACTCCCTGGACCTGGGGCAAGGTGGCGTACCAGGTGTGGCAAGGACCAAGCCCCTGGAAGATAAGATTATGGTTTCAAACCAACTTTGAGACTAGCTAAGTGACTCCAGCATATTCCTTCTTACCCATTTCTCCATCTGTGGCTCATCTGCCCCTTTCCCTGTGTGCTCACTATTCTATACATAAACACTACACTGTAAGTTATGTCACTTTCTGGGGACTTATGTGGGAAGTGAGAAGGCAGGCCCAGGGCCTCCGCTTGCCTGAGTCCATCACAAATTCCAGGGCTTCAGGTGAGGCAACTGGTTTCGGGTATACTGGCTATGGAGCTGGGCGCTAGGCTTGAATCCCAGCTTGAGGCCTAGTACTAAATGTCCTGAAATGATTGCTAAGCTATTCTGTGTTTTTTGTTTGTTTGTATGTTTTTAAGAAAGATATCACCTTGTAGACCAGGCTGTCCTTGAACTCACAGAGATCTGCCTGCTTCTACCTTCTAAGTGCTGGCGCTAAAGGTGTGTGCCACCATCCTTCAGAACCTGTCTGTGTCTGCTCTCCTTCTCCCTTTCTGATAGGAAACTCCTACCCCTGGCTTCCCTGCAAGGAGATATGTGGCTATATATTCCCTTAGGTTCGGTGTTCGTTTGTGGAGCCCAACCGTGTGCTTGAAGAAGGCTGCCTTCTTCAAGGCAGGACACAGTCGAGGGAGAAGAGGCTGGTGTAGCTGGGCAAGAGGACTCTGACCACCTAGAGTGGCCTTGCAGCACAGAGGAGAGGGCAGGAAGGGGCTGGATGGGTAGGGTGGAATTTTAAAGTGGAACAGACATGAGGATGTGACCTCCAGACATTCTGTCTGGGTGTGGCAGCGGGGAATGAATGTTGGTGACTCCTTGCCCTAGGAGGGGGCCAAAACTCACTCATTCTTTTGGGCTCTGACCTGAGCTATGCTTGCTTGTCATGTGAGGGACAGAGGCATGATGTGGGCAATCCCATGAAAGGTGTTTCGCCAACAGTGACCAAGATTGTCCCTGTTATCCGAGCATGGAGGGAATGGAAACTGGAACAGTCAACCCCAAGCCACCACTGCTTGGGCACCCTACCCTCTGCATAGCTTTGTCTCCTGTCCTTGTAGCCCTGCCCTCTGGGTTGGGTACATAATTAAAGGAGTGGAAGTTTCTTAGTCTTCCAGGGCTAGGTGAGAGGAATGTTTCCTCTCCCTGCTATTCTCCGTTATCTGGGTTGGAGCCATTTTTACTGAGCACTGCCTGAGATGGGGTGGATAGGCCTCCTCCTCAGGGATTCCATCCTGACCCTAGGTGACATGTCCCAAGAACCCGGGGTGGATAAGACATCTTATCCAGTAAGTTCAAACTGGGAGGGTGAGAAAAGAAAGGGTTGTGAGGCCTTAGGGCTGCTCTCACCTGAACTGAATCCATTCTGAAGGAATCCACCCCTGCCTGGCTGAGGCCAAGCCCTGATTGTCTGCGCCTTCATCTGTCCCAAGGAGGGGCAGGTGCTAACAGGTCTGGCTTGTCTGGAAGTCAGAAGGGAGGATGAAGTTAGGCTGATGGGAATCCTGGCCTGGACCTGGGCAGGCTCCTTAACCCCAAGTCTCCATGACCTCCCTCTCAGATGTGGAAACATGAAGTACGTATGAGGGTGCTCAGACACCTGATGCCACACAAGCAGGCCTTCCAGAGATAGAGGAGTGTCTGAAGGCAGACAGCTATAGGATTCTACAGAAGTGACTGCCCTTGGAGCAGGCAACAGGCAGGGACACTTGCAGGCTCTGAATTGAATCCACTAATATTCCCAGACATACCCTGAGAAGTTGATTATATTGTCTGAGCCATTTGAGGTGGACTTGCTGTCATCCGCTGCCTCCCCAAGGCCAATTTCAGGCCTCTGAACATCCATACTCAAGATTGGACTTTAAGAGCAAGGTGGTTTATCTGGCTTGGAGCAGTCCTGAGAGGCCGGAGTGGCAGCTGATGGCTGGAACGGGTATGTGGACAGGTAGTGTCCAGTAGGAAGGGGTTAAGACTCAGCCTCAAAATCTCTGGAATTCTAAGAGTGGTGGTTCCTTCCCAGCAGCCAGGGCTGGGGAATCCCTTCACAGAGCACTTGCTTCCTCCTCTGCTCCCAGCAGCCCTGCCAGGAACAGGTGCTGAGCACAGTAGCCCGACGTCATTGTCTGGTAGTTGTGTGGGGAGGATGCTGTGCCTCCCGCCTCCGGGCCTTCGAGATGGAGCGTCTGTGCGGTGTGCTGCCTTGCGGGGAATATGGATCCAGGTGTGCTCCATGTACGTGTGAGTGGCTCAGGAACATCTCCCTGCTTTTGGACACCTTTGCCCTCATTTGAGCAAATAAAGGCCCTTGTCACTGAGGTCTGATGGTGTATGTGTCCCCAGACAAGACAGACCTACAGGTGGCTGAGCCAGTACAAGTGTGAAGGGACATGTGGCTGTGGCTGTGTGTGGGGCACAGTGCTGAAAATAAGTGATCACATCCTGGCTGTGGAGTGGGAGGGTGAGCCTTGCCCTCAGCTGCCCTAGTGCCCCTCCTCTGATCTGCTCATATGTTGATAATCATTTGCAACTCACCAACATTTCAGTGGCTGGAGAGTGTTCTGTGTAGTGCCTAGCATGAATAGTCATTCTATTACCAGATGGGGGCATGGAGACCAGGGCAGCCCCTGGCAGGCCCCAGCAAGAGAAGGTACCTGGCACTTTACCCTTCCCTTGTTAGGTTCCCAGATATGAGCATCTGAGAGTCTTGCCTTCTGGAAAGACACCTATGAAGGAACAAAGTCTAAGGGTTGGTAGAGAGCCAGCAGGTAACTAGGGGGCGGGGTTAGGACAAAACAGTGTCACCAGCCCCAGGGCTAGGGGAACTTCCTCGCTGGAAAAGTTCTGTGGGAAAGAGAGCAGCAGGCATTAGCCTTGCCATCTCTGGACAGCCAGCTGGAGTCTTGAGCCCTCTTTAGGCTGGGGCAACTCCGGAGGTCCTTCTGAAAGGGCAGTCCTTCTTCCCAGGCCTGGGCTGCAGGCTGGTGGCAGCGCTGGGCACGCAGTGTCCCTGGCACAGCAAGCAGTCCCCTTCACCACAAGGGCCCATTTGTCCCAACTTCTGTGGTTCCCGAACCCTGGATGACCGCGGCCTGCTGGGCACAAGGGCCTGGCTGTGGGTTCCCGTCACCCGTAGCCTCTCCAGGCCCTGGCTGCCCCTTGGTGTGGGTTTCTCCACTCAGGCCAACCTGCATCAGAACAAAGAACAACCTCTGCTTAATCAATGGCAGAGACCCACTCCCTAAAACTGCTACTGGCCAGCCAGGAAGGAGGGAAGATCCTTGTGCTGAACCAGGGCTGACTTGGCATCCCAAGGCAGGCTGATTTCTGGGAAGCACACCGCTC